TATTCATAACACTCCCTCAATCATCTTGAGCTATGGGCTAAGCACTTCAAGATACAGTTCAGCTTGAATAACTAAGCGGGCCCGAATGCAACCGAAATCCGGCATAAGATATCAATCCCGGCTCGGATGGTCTGCACCCCGGACTGTTCCTAGAAGGTGACGAGGTCCTGGTGAACAGTCCGACTACCACACTGCAGGAGATTCGGTACGAAAACAGATTACCAGTCGAATAGAGCTCCTTGAATGTCATCTCGGTTTTCGAAAAGTGTGCAATAACGTCATGTGAAAATCACCATGGTACCAGCCCGATATCCGTCGCATCTAAAATACTCTCGGGTTATTTTGCGCAGGTCGGTCGTCAGAAACTTCGGCAGTGTCTGGCGATCAAAGCTGTCCCTTCCAAATTTATATACCTTTTGAGGACATTGTACGCGAACTCTTTTTGACGGGCCCTCTGCTGAGTGAAAGCGACCGAGAGGTGGACAGCAAAGTACGGAAACACTAATCAATAAGCTTAGTCGGGTCGGCAAATGCCGCCTCCCTGGATGGGGACCCCTGGACTCAACTCACTAATAGTTAATGACATTGATAGCAATGGCCCGATTGCGCAGTCCATAGCGCTGGTGTATCAAACCTATCGCCCTCAATGCATAGCTACCCAGTTCCCGAAATGACCAGATGTGCTATTACCTTCAAGGCTTGGCTATATGTCCCACACTGTCCCGTTTTCCGGTAATCGAAACTGTAACATCTAGACCAGTGTGCTAGTAGTACACGGTTTGTACCTGATAAATTGGAAAATTAATTGGTTGATACGTTTTCATATTCAGTACTTTTTCGGCGATCTCCGGTTGCATCCACACGTGTAGTTGTTGGATATTCTCATCGTGATCTTACGTCATTGGTAGTCAACTTCGTTGCTTACTCTGATTACAGGATATAGTCTTTCCGACGGAAAATGCACCTATCAACTGGTGCGTCTTGTGTTACCTTAAATACAATGTCACCAAACCTCTTGTCTGTTTTTTTAACCGCCCGAACTAAACGCAAATCCATGAGGAAGTAAGAATTTACAGGTACTTTCTGTTACTGTAAGTTTTGGACTGGTTGATTTGGTCGGAACGAATCACATGAGGTCGCTCATCTGTCTCAGTTGTGTTGGGAAGTGTGTCAAATAGGTCACACTGTCATCGGAGGTACTATTACCCATTGCGCAACGGCATTGTGTAATTTGCCACTCTGTGCCTAGATTCTTGGCTCCTTCAAGCAGCTGCAAAAATACATCATTGCACATCCAATGTGTTAGGGAAATTCCTCGACAATATGCCTACATTCCCTCTGTTTGGATTTCTCTGAACATTCCTACCCCTTCATCCAACTTCACCAAAAGTTTTTATTTCTTAATGGGGTAATTTACTGAACACCCGTCGTCACACCGACGGCACTCTTAATTACCTACCAATTTGTGCCCGCTTTTCAGCTTTTTCAGACCATCAATGAACGAAGAAATTTCTAGCGATGAATCGGTTCGTCATCCGTAATTTTTTCCATGTTATTCCCATGGTTTTTTAGATCGACTGCGACGATATCCAGATCGAGTGAGTTCCTGTTATCATTCAGATGACTTTCTCTGTCCAGCCCAAGTTATCACCAACAGCCCGTTGAAGAACACGCAGCCATCTCTCACCCTCCGAAGAAGATTGAATCAAAGTGATTTCGCGTGTCTCTTTTGACTTTCGTGCCTTTCAGGAAACCTAAACGAGTTGTGGATGTTCGTGCAAGTAAGGGACGTGTACTAAGGTATCTGCGGCTCCCAAAAGCCGTCGACTTCATGTCTCCAGACACGACGGAATATTTTTCCCAGACTCAGCGAAATAATTTGTTTGCTCAGTTAAAGGCCAATAAAGACTAGTATTGTGATGTATCTGTTCTAGCTGGGTGATGCTGGAGGTGTAATAGTGGACGCTACTGGTTGTTGACAACAAAGGGATCGCTTGCTCACCAGTACCAAACCTTTAACATCAGTGTCAGAAAAATAACATGGTTTGGTGAATTTGGCTCAACAGTCTAGGAGCTAGGATGTTTTGGCGATTGATTCGTCCGCTCTGTATCCCAACTCGGGATTTGGTCCGCTTTCCTAAAGCTCTGATTAGTTGTGGGGTTCAGTAGTTCGAGGTTTGGTAAAGAATAGCAACTATGGTAAACCACTCACAGGTGGTATTCTACAACACTGAAGATCTAAAAGCTCGAGATGGGCCAACTAAGTACATGCGCTATTGTCTCGTCAATTTGACGGGTAACTCCAGATAGTTTTTATAGTACTTGAAGTACTTGGCCATACTTCCTATAGATCCTTCTTCCATGAGCGCCGAAAGTTTTTTCTCGTTTGTCTGTGCTCCATTTTGAAGGCAGTCGAGTTTTTTCGGGAACCCGGGGACCACTGTACGCATGTTTCATCACTATTGAGAATTATCACCCGTACGCATATAAAAAAAACTAGGAGCCGCAGCGTTCCACATGTGATTTTGAGTACGGAAGCTGCTACGTAGGGTATAGCAGTACTCCAGCCTACAGTCAGGTTTCACGTTAATTTCTCACTTAATCTCCCGCCCTCGAGTGGCAACCTCTTATACAAAGACCCCTGTAGTGTGTGGAGTGTTTTCCCTCCATGAGAAGAGAAGCAGGATAAGATCAGGATGTGAAGCTTCGAAATGAAGCCACTACCGACAAGGCACAGATGTTATGTTCAAAAACGAATACTTCATAAAAATCGTTTTGATCCTCCTGTAAAAAGCTGTCCACCGAAGAGCACCAGAACATGTGAGCAGTCTGTGGTAGCTAAAGTTTGTCGTGTTCAGCTCCCATATGAAAGTTTGCATGTTCGAACCTCTTGAGATGCTAACTGTTGATGGCCCATAGAGGAGTGATACAAGTGCCAGGTGATTCCCGGCATTTCCGAAGTATGCAGTGAAGAAAATCCTTAGAAAGTGTGTGGAGTAATTGTCATATACCAGAACTTTTTTATTGAAAGGTGTGACCACAAGAGACCCGGCTGGTATCTTGGGAGGAGTTTGGTGAGCCTCAAGGGTGACGGTGTTTAACCACACTAGTCACATCAGGGCGGCTGGTAACTGTAATCACGTGTCTAGAATCTCCGTATGGGTGTTTGCTAATACGCGCCTCCTAAAATGAAGAACACGAATTCAGGCGCATTATGAACACAGTATGTCACTCGACTTGTTCATAGACGCGTGCGAAATAAACCGTCAACGAACAGGCCCGTTTGTACATTCAACTTGTTGGAGAAATATGAAGCAGGCACAACGCCCTCGATGTGCATCGCACAGGGTTCAAGTACCCGGACAGGTAGCACCCGGTATGCTGAGTGACGTGACCTGTGTTTGGTTGTTAGTCTAAAACTGATAATTTCTTCGGGGTCTCTCATGATGACGAAAAGGATACTTATAGGAAGGAGGCTACAAGAAGCCTCGAGTTCCAAGCAGTCTGGCATCAATACCGAATTTTGTAGAGGAAAATGCCGAGTGTTTTCCCGATCAGCAATTACTTCACATCTGAGCACTGACGCGTATGTTTTCACATCCTCGCTGTCCTCCAGTTCGTACTAAGCTCTATGTTTAAGCAAAGGCTCTGGCCTTAGGGACGTCATTTTTAACAAACAAGCAGGTAACCTCGCAATCGCAAGAAAATTTAACCCATTTGTGATCCAAATACTCCAACTTAGCTTAGAAATCAGCACCGGATTTCACAATATTAGCGAAGTTTGCTTAGCGTCTAGATTGGTTCCACTGTGTTGTTATCATTGGCTCATATTGGAGGGGTTTGTGACACACTTATCATTTTAGTACCTCCTCTCACTGTAAATCGGTGCACATCAAACATTTGGCAGTTGTACGAATCTGGGAAGCATTTAAAGCTCACAACTCCGTGTCAGATTGATGACTGAAATGCTGTAATCCTGGAATCAACTTGACTTGGGGATGATTTTCGATTCCCTGTAGTTTGTTCGTAGTGAGGAAATTTCGTAGTTCTGATTAAGATTTCATCCTGTGATTGCAGTTTGCTCAAAATGGGAAATAAACCCCACAACTCAACCAAGCCCTCTTTCTGAGATTTGCTACAGTCACTACGTGACCATTTCGCTAATTAGTGTTTGTGGTGCTATATTCTGCCTACACTAATTATCAGCGTCTCGTGGCCGAATAGCATAGGGCCGAACAACTAATCGGAAGGTGGAGGATTCGAATCGCGGTAAAGTTTCGTGAGATACGCAAATATAGTGAATCCCAGCAGTGCTGAAACCATACTTGTCTTAGCATCGCAGATTGGCTTGCAGATATATCGCATATATTGACGCTAAGGATTCTGATTTACCATGTTCTAAGCAAATTAACAGTTCTGTGGCAATGTATTGCTTACCGGTGACCTCGTATCTTGGCAGGAAATCACCGTGGATTTTGTTCGCCTTCAGAATTGGGTTTATTAAATAACCAACAATGATCCAAGTGCACTTTCTATTGACCTGAACGGACGAGTTCCGGACAAATTACCCATAATGGGACGGATTAAAGCCCAGGGGTTACACGAAAACGAGGAAAACTGGAAACTGGTGACGAATAGCCTATGGCTGAGCTGTCGTTACATAGAATCTGGAATCTTGTAAGTGGTTTAAGTGTGTGTTTGAGTAAGGCAATTGTATCTGGTTTAAGAAAATGGTTGTGGGGAAATGAGGGATTAAACTTCTTGATTCTGCTCGCCGATCACTCGCGTGACTGTCCCAGGTGTATTTTTTAAATGCGCGTGTCTTCCGTTTGCCCAGTGTTTCATTGGGTTCGGGGTGTGATCAATCGGGTAAGCTCGCCAATAGGTATGTAATCGAAATTGTTGTCAGGTGTAATGATCAAGAGATAACCTTCACGGGGTCCCGTAACAACCAACGGCTGCTGGTATGTCGTCGTTGTCAATCCAGTTTCGGACGTTGTTGTGTTTGTCCTTGGTATTACCACCAAAGTTCCGCTTTTCGGAGCTGTCACCACTCGGGGAAGCTGAGTTGTGTTTGCAGGAAGACATACGAATGTGGAGTTGGGATGGGGTAGCTGAAAGACTAGCGGAGAGCTGCTTGGTTCTTTACCTTCTGGTTCATTCATTGTTGTTGGCATCACCACAAGTGGCAGCTGTGGGTTAGTTTGCAGTCGGTTGGCTATTTCCCGGACGATCTGCAGAAAAGATGGGTAAATGAATAGTCAGCATGGGAATATTAGAGGTTATGTGCCTATACGTGCTGCTGTACAAGCTTCTAATAAATCGTTATGCTGCGAATTAAAGCACACTACTTTTTGAATATTACAAACCTCGAAAAGATCTAGCCAGTCTCAGAGAGTGGACGTACTGTGGGTGGAGGAACGATCCAAGATTCGCATAGCGGCGTTTGCAGCGCAAAACCATGTGGTTGTATTGACGGGAGAGGCTTTACATGGAGGGTCTTTAGATGGATGGTAAAGTGTATTCTTTTCTGGACTACATTGATTCTCCCCAGGAGCACATAAGATGGATCTTTTTGGAGCCTTACGCCGTTTTGGATGCCAATGTGTGGTTGACAGAGTGCGAGATGTGACAAGATCACTTCCCACTTGTGGAGGGATTTGCTGTTCGGGTGTGTACTATACCAAGGTCAGTGGACGCACTGTAGGTTTCAGAAAGGCTTGGTAAATAATCGGTAGTTTTTACTTGGGCAACGTCTCGCGTTTGACCCATAAGCTTCATCAGGCTAAGTGAACATGTCATCAAGTTGGTTTTAAGGCAGACGGGGAACCATTCAGTAAGTTCTCTTCAGCTTAAGGCTTGGTAATAATCGGTAGTTTTTACTTGGGCAACGTCTCGCGTTTGACCCATAAGCTTCATCAGGCTAAGTGAACATGTCATCAAGTTGGTTTTAAGGCAGACGGGGAACCATTCAGTAAGTTCTCTTCAGCTTATCACATTAGATCAGTGTTGAGTCTCAATTAATGGATCTTGTCGGCCAGTGTGGTTGGAAAAATTCTGAATTGATGAGTTGGAGGAGTTTCAAATTAGCGAAATACACTCATTTGCAAACTAATTTGGTTTTCCGGGAGACTCAATTGGAACCCAGTTGAATCTCTCGTTTGTGATGTTTCCAGGCAGCTGAACGTGCTGCACCAGGCTGCCTCATGTTTCAGTCGCTACGATATTCGAGATATCGCGATACATGTATATTGATAATGCACTACTCATGAGGTTGCTGAAAGTTCTTCGACAGCTCGCGACCAATATTTTGAAATTTTTTGAAATTCCCTTAACCGATCAACAGTAAGCTTTGGGCAACCACACTAACAGACAAGACCCTTCAATTGATATTCAACACTGATCCAGTGTTTCAAAATAGCTCCGAAAGCTCTTGTTTCTTAATCTTCCACTTCAGGGTGCTTCAATTGATGATTCAGCGCGGTGCCACTGGTAGATTTTCCTTGGTCTTCGTAGGCTTGTGGGTGTTTCGACAATTTAGTTGAGGGGAGGTGAGGTAGGTAAAGTTAAGTGGAATCCAAATGATGACTACTACTCCTCGATTGACCCAAAACCGTTCTCCACACTCTTGCCAGTTCCACGCCTCCTATTCTGTTAACACTGGGATGCTTGGAGATTTCTATCGCCTCGACCATCAGTCTCTATGACGTGGACCGTAATCCTCGCCTCAAAACCTGAACATTTTCTAAACCTATTTTGTGTCCGGTGTCCACTGCGTGTTCCACAATTACCCAGTCTTTCAGTAACGCTTGATAATCATCCGCGTTTCTCGGCGGCCTGCTTATTTTTCTTCTATGCTCTGCGATTCTGCCGTGAATTTCCCTGGCCGTCTGTCCTATATAGACCTTAGTCCTGTCGTTACACCTAATTTTGTAGACACAGTCCCTGGTTCTGTTTTCCGGGAGGCGATCGTTCAATTGCACCAATTCAGAGCGCAGAGTGTTCCCTCATTAGCATGGAGATAGAGTCAACCTCGGTAACACTGGCCTTTTTAGACTGCATGACACCAAAGGTAGAGGGGAAACTAAAGACCACAGTGTACGAGAAGCCAACTGAGACTGGGGCAGTTCTGAACTAGTCGCCTGCCCATCCGAAATCGGTATTCGCCAGTATTACCTCATCAGTGTTTAGGCGTTTAAGGGCCCTGTGCACAGAAAAAGCTGATCGGACAGCGACCCAAGTTGAGGTAAAGAACACAATTCGGGATAGTGGATACCCAGCTAGCTTGATTAGGCGTCAGTTGCGAAGGGTGTTGGTACCGATAGTGAAATCCAACAGGGGAAGGATCTGGACCGCTGTTATTCCATATCAATCAGGGACATCGGAGGTCATTCGAAGAATTCTCAACAATTCTAACACAAGAGTAGCTCTCCAGAGGGAGGAACACTCCGCGTTGGTGCTGATAGGCCTAGAGTTAGGATGGCAATATGAATAATCAGCGACGCAAATTTCGCGAGTTTGAACTTGCAACTTTCTTACTCAAGTGGTTAGAGCGCGAATTTACTGACTGGAAGGCCCGTGGTTAGAACTCGTCTTCTGCCTCTTAGCAGCCAGGTACCGGATTTAGGCTACCTGGCAATATCGCAGCCCTCGTGCTTCTCTCGGGTGGCATAGCAGCCAGGTACCGGAAGGGTGTTACAAGTGAGCAATTTTTTTCTGACATAAATTTAGACCCGGCCAATAGGTTACCGGTGGCCAGTCAGTAGTGTGGTTAATTAAGATTTGGACAGAATATAGTAATCACCGGAGTAGCCAGTTAACATTTCGTATGACAGCTGGTGTCGTGGAGCGTTGGGCGGAGCTGTATTGCTTGAGTCCAGGTTAGCCACCAGTAGTCAACTATCTAGGATTCTACAGGTTTCAATCACCCTAAATTTTGCTGAGATGCGCACTGCTAATGGGCTGGCTACCTTTCAGCACAAATCAACTCCGCATTTAGGGTCGAATGCAAACTTAAAACCGCGTTGGCATCAGCAACTGGCTATTTTCAGCATTATGGCTCTCCTTGTTTTCAACCATAGTAACCAAATGCTAGCCTACGTTGTAATTCAAAATACCTCTTGGGCTTCTAAGTCAGGCCATTAAATGGCTCTCTCAGCTATCATGATTGGATGAGCGGCAGGAAAGGATGTTCATCTTAGCTCAAATGTATAAACATGACTACAACCGAATATATGGAGCAAAAGATTTTCACTCACTGTGTCAACACTTGAATGGTACCGCTCCGCTGCGGGAGATTGATTATCCGTGACACTGGACGTCATCAGCTTAGTATCGTCTGCATCCGGTGCACTCTTGTGGTGTGCACGACTACCGGGAAGTGGTGAGGATGGAGCCGTTCTCATTTGTGTTTCGCTCATATTTCCCGCCTGCGAAGCGCCTGCGCGTTCTAGGTACAAGTTCGCAAATCGTCTGTGGCGTAAAAATCTCGTCGGGCTGACTGGAGTTGATAATGTTTGGTCACCATGCAGGAGTTGTCTTCTTTCATGCCCTAAATAGGATAAAAAAAGATTTGCTGGTTTCGTGTGGTCTACACCAGTTGCTCAAAAGAGGGTTGAGACGTGCCCATGCTTAGTGGCAATAATCTCACTACTAGCATGTTCTAAGTAGTGTGAGTATTGCGTGACCGTCACTGTTATTTGCTCTGTTTGCCCAGTTGGCCTGGCAGCAGTAAGTTTTGGGATAAAAATGAGGATGATTGGAAATAATGTGAAGCCGTTTCACCCCTTACAGCGGGATCTTGTGGTTACGGTACTACTTTTCGGGCTTCAGGTTGGTTAAAATTGTGGTGTATTTCAAAATAGCAAGATGAACGAAAGGATATTTGTCACACACTCGTGAGATGTGACATGAACTGAATAACTTCCGAAATATGTTTGATCGGTACTGATAATATTCATCGCTTCAACTGAGCAGTGGGGAGGAGTTAAGGAATTAAGGAATACAATATACATGCCTGACAATGCTCCTGACCACGTTTTGCTTCACATCGCATCACATTGAAACTTGAGCTTAGATAGTTGGACTTCAAAATGCATCGCAACTTGGATTGGAACGGCCGGTTGAAACTTATATCGCATCTTCCTGGTGTGCTTCAAAGACCGTAGTTCAGGAGTCACTGTTGGCTTGACACGATAGTAACAGGTCGTCAAGTAAATCGATATTTAGAGTACAAAACCATATGGTCGTGCGTCAGCCCTGGTTGAAAGCAGAAATGTGGTAAAAACCTAGGAGATACTAGACTTCTGCATCACATCGTTCGCAGAAAATTACAATAACTCGTCACATCAATCCAAAAAGTAGGTCTTGACCAGCTCCAACCGCTATCATCAATCAGCCTACTAATTTAGCAAACTTTATGGACTTGCGCAGCTTTTGATGACGGGAACGTAAGCGGTGGTGCGAGTGATCACTATTTAGTCGTGCACATTCATCTCCGAAATGGATTCGGATGAATTTCCGTGCACAGTACAGACCCCTGAGAAAAAACATCAGCCTTTTGTGACCCAAGTGATATGTGTTAGTGGATACCGTTCATGGGAGGCAGTTTGTAGTCCAAAAGTGACCGCACAGTCACTGCGGTTTCGTCACATACACGATCACTTCCCCGTATCGATCACATGATACAATCATCAACATTTTGTAACAAGTCGAAAGTAACGAGAACAATTCGTGTGAATTGGCGAACCTGTGTCCATCTTGCTCCAGCTGTGTGCACATTAAAGTTCGAAAGGCAAATCATTTTACTGTCAACCCAGTCTGACCTCAACTCACCAGACTAAAAATTTGGATGGCTCTACAAAAAAATCCATAACGATGAATCTCACTGGCAGTTGCGGCTAAGTGCGACAGCAAGAACGGGGTCATTTAAGCGGACGTATGCAGGGAAAAAAGTCGTGTACCTGTGACCTGTGACTGTGATAATGGAATTCAAAGTGTCAGTATTCCAATCCCACAAGCGGCTTAACTTAGATATCGGATGCTACGTTGGTGGATCAAGGGCCTCTGAACTTGCCTTTAAGACTTAGTGAATCTCCTCGGTCTAAGTTCGAAGCAGAATTGCCAAGCAGCTACATCTTCCTCTAACTTACTTAAAGAATTTGTTAGAAACTGGTAGACTTAAAATAGTTGTTTCCTGAAGATGGTCGGCCCTGGTTCTTGAAAAACTGGTCTGACTTTAAGGTTTTGCCTTGTTCACAAACCCTTGACAGATCAAACTGTTTCCTTCGTCAGCTAACTTTTTTTAGTGAGAACCACTACGCTCCGATGATCGTATGATATTGTGTATACGAGTCGAAGATGCCCCAACAATACTAACCAGTTCCGATCTGTAGTCCGGTATCTTTAAGTGGAACTTCTCTGTTGACTTTCATACCCGATGCGAATAACCAACCACAGTGGAGTTTTCCACTGTTCTACCGAATGCTAACTACAAGGCCGAATCGCTTTACGAGTGTCCAGACTACTGTCAATCAAGATCTCAGTGTACTTCGGTTTTGAACTTACTGAACAACTGTCGTTTATGTGCTGATGTATAGACCGTAGTTTATTACCTTACTTTATGCAACAGAAATGTATAAACAACTGGATCGGCGACATTACCAGTCTAGTTGGTGAACCCTCGGCTTCATAAACAAACAAGTATTGTATATACTCCTTCAATGAGCCTAGTCAACACTGAAGTCCGATTTCGTCACCTGATTTTAGGTCATGAGTTGACGATGCCAGCACTCGCGAGGAAAATGATTAGCGTGCATAAATCACCGAGACGCCTGTAATGCTTCACAGTAACGTTGATCTGTGAAACCGGGAAATTGGCGCCATTCCGAGGTAAATAGTGATGTGGGGCAGTGGCAACCAGGTTTTGTGTGCCCAAAATGTAAACAACTTATTGGAAATTGATTTTCTCTTTCCAGCTTTGTAGGCACGCATCGATCAGCCCCCATGGGACTGTCGTTTAAAGACAACATGCGTTTTACCTGAGCGTACCCAGAGGTTCTCCCTGGGTGAACCACTATTTTGTCGGTGGCACTGTATCAACTGAGATACATACGAATTTGTATTTCGTTGCACTGAGCGATGACAGCCTTTGTTAGGCGATGGCTTGAGGCGCTAGGAAGAGCCATTATCGCGAGCTAGTCTTCGGATTCAATAGCATTAGCTTCTCTCGGTTCAAGACACCCTTCAGAAATGTAAGGTTGAATTGAATGTTCGTACAGTTTGGACGAAAGGGCGAATTTAGTCAGACCTGCAGGAACGAGTAACACCATAATCCTCTGAGCTAGCAGGTGGGGATCATCAAGATTACTTTCAGTGCATGTGTGGTAGCCACGGTCCTATTTTGCGTGGATTAGGACAGCTATCGCCGACCTCTCATTTTGTCGTAGATACGAGCAGATTTCAATGTGTTCGAATTCAAGCTAGGTTCCTATTTTATTTACACGCATTGACAAATTAGTCAGTTATGGAGATTTCTGGCTTCACGCGTCACTGCCCTTGTTGGGGCTGACTGGATGTAGGGTGGCGGGTTAAATGGCCTAGCAACTAGACGCTATTGAACTGAGGGCTGATGTTGATTCGCCGGTTCAGTCAGCTACAAATAGTGTATCAGGGGTACATTAGTCCCAAATACTACGCTTTCGTTCACTGATAAACAGGAAACCAAGAGATAATAGCAAGGAGCTAGAAGCGATAACCTGACCGAATAATTTTTGTTCATCTCCTCTAGCTGCCCAACGATGATGGATATGGGATATTGAAGGAAACGGATTTGCTGCAAGACCACCATTAACGGAACGACTGGGCCATATGAATCAGTGTCATCATTAAAGGTGACGGTTGTCAACTTGATTGAGTGTACTGATTGGGGCTTTGAGGCTTCGTTGGTGGGTACGATAATGCCCGCACTTTTTCCACTCAGTACAGGGCTGGGTAGATACAGCTCTTCGGAGTAGACGATCAGCTGATGTGCGGAAGACGGCCCTAACCAACGCAATCTATGCAGTGTGATTAGTTCGTCCACTGCTGAAGGATTCCTCCCACCTGAAGCCATTGAGCTGTCTAACCAACGCAATCTATGTAATGTGATTAGTTCGTCCACTGCTGAAGGATTCCTCCCACCTGAAGCCATTGAGCTGTATTAGCATTGATAACCCGATATCTCCACCAGGCTCGGGTGGAGTTTCGCAGACGTTGACACTCAACCACCACAGGTAGAAGCACCCCCTCGAATGCATTAAGCAGTATGAACCGCATTGTCACTGATAGCCAGACTGACGTCACGCTAACTCCATAATTTTTGAAACTTGGTGAAAGTTGTTCTTGTCTTCCCGATCCTAGAAGTAATCTCATCCCTTCAGGACGTATACAACGACCGAATGTGAGGATACACGTATTCACTGTTTTGATCCCTTGGACTCCAAAATATGAGGTTTAGGTTTGATCTAACCACGTCTTGTCGAAACAGTTTTCACTGAAGTTGTGAAACGCATTTCAAAATGCACGGCGCAACTGTTTAGGTTATTTAACGTGCGTTGTGTCTCTAAGGGGTGGGACCAGGTAAACCAATGTCGTTTTGGTATTCGGTTCATGTGAACGAATGTCCCAGGAGCATTCTGTTCTCTGAGGGGTTGTCGGAAAGAATGACAAGTTCAAGCAGCATATCGATAGAAGTGATGAACAGGAACGGAGAGGAAGAGAAGCCTTGCCTTGCAACACTAGAAATGGTGAAATTCGGTAAAATCTTACCCTGTACCTGCTGATGGTGTTGATGCACAGACTGTGTGAGCTTAGATTCAGAAGAGACGGTTCTTAGAAACTGGTATCGCTTCTGACATCAACTTTTCATCACGACTTGTGTCGAGGAGGGGCAGTTATATTAGTGTTTGAAGCGTTCGACCTATCGCTAAGATCGACGATTCTAACTTCGGAAATTGTTCCACTGCCATCCGCCTTCTCTTCGCCAGCTGAGTAAATCAGTTGAAATAGGATGCGGATGTTTCACACAGCTGCTTCATGGGCTTTCGAAATCAACTAGTTCTATTTGTTTTAGCTTTCATGATCCTAAGGGACAGCGAATTGTTGGACTTGGGTTTTAGATCGACACATACGCCTAATGGGCACTTGACCATGGGGCTTGGCATTGCGTGAACCTGTTAGTCTAGTTAATTTATTTACACGTTCCTCTGAAAGGTATCGCATTTCCGAATGCAAATGTTGTAGCAACCCATTGGAAGTGCTGGTTGATTACGATGTTTACGCTTACTACCTTCAAGAGAGGCAACCGCACAGAAAAAAAACACTTCTGAGGACTTAGGATCCTGCAGAAGCCGTCTCCGAGTTCGGACCATGGGCCACCCTTTGAGGCATATTTTGCTCACTGTAATCGTCATTGCTGCGAAACGCAATACACCCACCGAATGGAATTCAAAGGGCTTACAGATACACTCACAAAAGTTCCACACAAGAAAAACTCAAATATCCTCACCAAGGACCAAGTTTCTTGGGCGTCCTGATATCGAGGTCTGTACTCCATCTTCCCTAAGTCCATTGTCAACCGGGTGCGTCCAGCTGTCAGCTGATCCAGTCCTAGACAAATGTCCGCTGACCATCGGATCGCAGGTCAGAGGAGACTGACCGAGTTCGTCTCCCCAAGACTTTGGTATGTTCAATGTACATGATGGTCCTGGTCCATGTGTGGGCACTCTGGCTGATTGTCTATCTTGGGACTCTCCCATTCTAGGAGAACACTGAAGCGATCCGGAGACCTGGTGCCACGTCCGGGGACGACGAGAGTACTCATTAGTCTCCACACAGCTTACGACTTCTGACCAAACAGTTTGTTCCCTCTCGCCAGTAACTGGTTCGGTGTCGATCTCTGGTGGTTTCTCCACCGAACTCAAGTGTTTTCCAACAATTCGAGCCGGTTCTCCATAGATACGATTTCGTGCGGTCATCCGAGGCACGGAGCTATCTGAAGAAGCACTTAGTTGACGTCTTCGTGAAACAGCCGGTCTGAAATAGGAAACAATACAGAACCTTACTGACTTCCCGCAGATTTTCTGCAAGAGCAAATGTACTGTTATCAGTATGACGAAAATAGGAGTGAGTAGCATGTATCTGTATATATGGCATTTACTCAGCAGCCTCATTGCACTGGCATTATTGTCTCAAGTGCCTCCGTTCACCAAGGTCTTTAAAAACGTCATGTTTTTTCGTAGCGCTCACATTTCTTGTATGTAGACACCATATGATAGCCACTCGCTAGATCTTCGCGGATGAGAACACTCTGGTAAGTACTCCTGTACTTGTATCTTATGCACACGTGCTTACGAATATACATATGCTGGTTTTTTGTTTATCACTGTCCAGTGGTAACTGCAGCCCCTAGTTTTCGCTTCTACCACAAATAATGGCTTATACGTGGTGTTGTTGAATATCTTCACGTGATAGTTGATAAGGTGACGTAGTTATACAACGAACGTCCATGATCTGAATGTAGTATTTACCGCAACGGAACGGAAGTTCGCTTGTGTGCACAATACCAGGTAGGTTAACCATCCGTGCTTCTCCACCTGATTTCATCATAGTCACATGTATCCGCGTAGACTTAGATGAAATTTAAACGGTCGTAACTAAGGATCATTGTCATGGGACAGTTACAATGAGTTGTCGGATGACCTGACACAAGGACAGATTACAAGCAAACGTCCACCTCCGAAACAGCTGCAAAGGTTATCCAAGTCCTGCATGGTATCTTCCGGGTTTCTCGTAGAACGGTGTGAGCCACAGTGGGAGGAGATAGAGACAAACGAGGATGACAATGAAAATAAGGCAACAGAAAGAGAACAAAACAGTTATTACTGCAACGAGTGAACAAGCATGTGGAATCTATGTATTGACCGGCAGGGATCCTTCACGTCAGGCTTCTCGCAACCCTGCTGAAAAGTGTGATTTAGGGCAAAAAGTGGACAGGCTACTACTGAAAAAAATAACTGTTAGCCACATTTTGGAGTGCACTTGGACATACTGCTTATCAGTACTACGTGAAACTGTTATCAGGATGTTTGCCGATCCGCATCTCTGAGGAAGGTCACCGGATGGGTAGTGTTGATGAAACGATTGTGCAGTACTTTCCGACTTTGTTTCACAGATTGAGCTGGTTGCACGGGAAGAGATTTCGACTTTAGATCCTCTTACCAATTACAACTACTTTATATATACGTACTGTATGCATGATATTACAACTATTTACAGGTATACGTAAAATTTCTAGGCTCCACAAACTAATCATCTATACCAGTGGAGAGTTGATGTTTACCAAGCCGTGAATTTGAAATTTGGTGCTATGTGTTTAGCGAAAATCAACAATACATTACCATTAAAAGAAGGCCACACGACGTACTTGATCAATACCGGTAGAATAAGCGCCAAAAAGAAACGACGTAATAGTAGACTTCTTCGGAACAAATATCTTTCACTGAGTTGCCCGGATGGTTCTTTCTCACGCAAACTTGTCGGCCATCGGGCTAAAATTTAGCGCTGCTACATAAAACAGACACCATAAGAATTTTAACCTGAATCAACAGCGGTCCACTTTGGGTGCTGTGTATCAGGAGATTCACAGAAAACCAATATATTGTCAGGACTATTCAGGAGCGGTCAGCACGAATGGATTGAATCGAAACCCTGAACCTTCTGCTCTGCGGCCCGTGCATCTGAGTTAGTTTGAAATTTACCAGTCCCAAGAACGTTATGCAAAACAAGTCTACAAGGTTTTTGTAATGCACTGCTCAAGTTTTGTTTCGAATAAAACAAAGGTCAAATGACTGTAGTAGTGAGAGAGGGTGGTCACCAGCAGTAGGGTGCGAAGGTCATGGGATAATAATTAAAGTAATAATGTGTGATACTTATCGTGGAATTGCATGTTGAACCTTGATACTGTTTTGTTTTATTTTGACGAAAGTTGCACTGTTGCACGCTCTTTGTCCTCGACACAAAGATGTGAATTCACAGGTTATTTTTCAACCATTTTCCATTAAAAAATTTCATAAAGTGCTAAGTAGCATAAAAGGATCATGACCATTCACTACAAAATACATTGGTCCCCAAAGGTACGTCTATCCTAACCACGATTCTTTCAACCCGGTCTCATGAGTTGGGACTGAGAACAGGTACACAAAGTCATAAAGGAAATCCTTCTAGGTGGCATTGAAATTTTTAAAAAAAAAGCGTGATGCTATTGAAATTTTAAAAAAAAAGCGTGATGCTACATTCTCCAGGACTCCGGCATCGTTTGTACATCTGATTGTTCGAATAAAAGAATAACTTCCTCAGCGCGAATAAGGAAGAGGAATGAATATTACGTTTAACAACACAGGTTGGTTATGCTGTCATAGAAAACAGGACGGACAGGACAATCTCCTTCAGAAAAATGACCCTCGCATGTTGGCTCCTGTACGAGTACAGTGACAGTGAATGTCATGAGTAGAAGTACAAAGGGAGGAATGTGGACCTATCATCCCACTCAATCTCTAGATCGTGAAGTGTGCTTTAGAAAAGTCGGAAGTGGCTCAGCATTCCAAGTTCTAAAATTATGACGAGAAACTGGAGTGTTTGGTCAATACGGTTGCAAGCAGCCCTTCTAAAATGGGGTGGAAATTCTGGCCTATAAAACATTCACTTGATATCACCGATTGATCGGGCATAGATGGCTGTTGTTGCATTATACTTGCTTAATTCATGTGTGGTTTCCGTCTAGCTCGTTCACTGAAAGACGTGCAGTTAAAACTTGACCTTGGGGGGGGTTCCATTGATGTCACTGTGAACGAAATGTACATGTCCAGTAGGTAAGTGTTGTTATTTATGCATCATAAAAAAATAACCTAACCTCTAATATTTAGTCCAGATTGATCAATCAGACAACACTGTCCGGCAAACCGATAGCCTGAAAGGGTTGGCAGTTGCTTGTTAGCAACTTTCCTGAGTGGGCTGTTATCCGGTAGGCAGTCGTGCTGAGGCACTTGTCCTACGACCATCATGTATATATGAGGGCACTACGAGCTGCAGTCGGACAGGTAACCAACATATGAAGTGTACAGATTAACCAGGCTGTGAAGTTGCGTAATCTGGATGCACAGGCTGAGTTACCCAGGCGAGTAAGAGTGCAACAACCTACCGTAAATGGGTAAGCTTAGATAGAAGGCAACTTGTTTCCACGACTATGGTGCGCAAATATGGTGCACGAGTATGCATGCACAGGTCTGTATAGGAAGTAGCATGTCATTGGCCTCTCCAGTGGTAGAAAAGAAACAGGTACATCTTGATCTTGTCAGTGAAATTTTTGAAAATTTGTCGACTAAAAGACACTGTGTTCATAATGCCAAAGGCAGAGGCCGTGATGGTTCGTTTCAAGGATAGATCACCCTTCCAGTAACACGCTGAGCTTACTCAATCAGTAGTTTTTTTTTGGGGGGGGGAGAGGCTTACTCACTAACGTTTGAGCAAGGTCACCTAAGAAAAGAGAAGTTTCTCGTTCCAACAAATTCGTGAGTAAGGAAGCTTCGAATGTGAACTAGGTTTCAAATGCTAGGCAGTGATACTCCGTTTCAGTACATATTTTATTAAAGTGATAAAAACGTAGACGAAGCAAAACCTAGGTTATCGATCTGGGCTAGCAACAAATAATGTTTGGATGAGTAAAATAGTTTGTCAAAGACAGGAGAAGTGATTAAGTCCCATCAATCTTTTAGCACTTAACAACAAAGGTAGATCGTTCCTCTAGCCTAAGCTGTGGCGTTTCTACACGCAATTGATGTTGCATTTCATCAATATCATTATCATGCGTTATGTCTGGGCCTTAGTTGCAGTTATGCACGCTACAAAAGACAGACACCGTCCAATTATCATATCCTTTTGGGTATCAACACTGACAGGATGGAAAGTCGGCGCCAGTCCACATCTGATTATCAAAGATGCCGATACTCCAAGTGAAGGAACATCACCTTGGCAATCAGCTTGGCAAAATGTGACGTCTAACAGAGTAGACATATGGTTGACTTATCTGAAAATTTCCCCCTTCAGCATTAGCTCCGACATAGATCTAAAAATACAAATACGTGTTAATTCGATGCACTTGGCAGTGAGTTGATGTCCGAAAGAATGTATGCTCAGTGCTGAACCAAACCAAATAGGAAATGTGACAGAGTTCCAGGTGAGTCTCTGGAAAAACCAAATTAATTTGCAGATGAGTGTATGTTCGCTAATTTCATGCAATTCGGTTTCAACTAGAACGTAAAGTTGGCGGAGACCCGGGGAGTGCGCCTACCTGATGAACCCCAAAAGGGCGAAACTGGTCGTGGGCTGTCGATGGATTTTCAGCAACCTTATGAGTAGTACATTACAAGGAGATGTGACAGTTTAAATTTTTTTGAAACACCTGGATTGTGAGCATTGTCGGTTTGGAACTGACATCCAGTTTGAAGTGTCGGTTTGAAGTGTCGCGGGTAGTATTCGGGGTTCATGATGAAAAACAATAAAGACGCCATTCGAACGTATCCGGTGGAGATTCTGCTTGAGATACTCAACACTGTGTCTTTAGTCTGACTAAAGCTATATTCCCTATAAGCGGAATTTAGTTGAACTGCTAATGGGTCAAACGTGGTCCAAAGTCAGTGTTCTTGAGTTATCTCCAAACTCTGGTCGGTAGCTAATCCCGATTTTACATTCCTTCTCGGCTTCCCTCAACATAAGCATTACTGGAAAAAGCATTTTCCACCTTCACTTTTCCACCTTCATTGATCCCACAAGAAGTTCTCCGACGATTTTATTTACTTCATGAAAGTATATATTTTGAGCTGTTTGGAGGTAACTCCTCAATGAAGACCTCGAAGGCAGGCTGCATATCCCTTGAGCTAGTCTCAACTTAGCATTCTACGTCGAATTCGTGTAAGATTTCTAATGTGTAACCGATCCGACCAAACGCACCTCACAACATGAACAGAAGAATGTTCTTT